GAGAGAGAGAGGTGGTAAGATGGGGTTAGACATGGGTGGCATTGGTTTCAAGAGGGGCAGTTGTCAGGAAACAAAGAAACGAACGCAAGGGAGACGAGAGCGTATTGAGAAGCTGATGTTGCAGGGAAAGGGGGGGCGCATGGGGCGCATGGGGTTTGGTTGGAGGGGATTTTCACAACAGGACCTAAAGGAGACGCATGGCACATGCAGCTGATGGGTGAGGGTGAAATGCACGATCCTTCAGAAGGTGCAACAGAGGGATTGAAAGTGGGAAAAGCAGTGAGTTTAGCTGCGATGGAGAGGATTAAGTAAGGGGAGACGGAGGAGGGGGGGGGGGGGTTGCGAGAAATGCGTTGTCGAAGTTCTTTTGCATTTCTTTGCCGGCGAGCGTGGGAAGATGTTGTAGTCGTCAAAGGAATGATGGGGTTCGATGCCAGGCGAAGATCGGAGAAAGCACCACGGAGGGGGAATGCACCGGCAGGACCAAAAGATTGTGCGGTTGTGGAAGAGTTTGCTGTTGACCTTGACATTGACGAAAATAAGTGCCATACGGTGAAAGATTGCAGAGCATTCCGAAAACGTAAACTTCCAAGCGGAGGGGATGGAGAATGACAGCACGGGATCGGGAAGCTGTGACAGAAACGGTGTGCGGCACGAGTGGACTTTGTGTGGACAGAAAAAGGTATGCAACATGAGATAGGAAAGGGGTGGAGGGTGCCAGCATTGTATTGGTCGTATCTTTCTTGATGTTGAGAATCTTAGAGCGACAGAAAAGGTCAGCGACCACATGAGCAGGCGACGCTCGACAGCTTGTGACGTTGAAAGTTTAAACCATCGGTACTTCCTGGAGGTGAGCCAGTTCGCACGCTAGAATAGGATGTGTGCTGAGCCTGCTGCACAAGCACAAGCACAAGCAGAAAAACGTTATCTATTATATATATCTACGACCGTAAATGTCGGAGGTCGGCGTAGCTGGGAAAAGTACTGTGGTTGAAGAGAGAAAGATGTCAGAGGTGGATGTGTTGCTCAGTGCAATTACGAGGAGGCTGTTAGACGTGGAAATTTTTGCGTGCAGGATTAGTTTTCAGTGGGTTGCTTGAGGAGGAGGAGGTAAAAGAGTTGTATTGGTTTCTTGTCTGTTGATTTATTTTTTTTCGTATTGCTAACGTCGTTTTTGCTGTGCCAGAATAGATCTTATTTCTGTATTTCATATTTGTAAGTTGCTGTTTTGAGTAGGGTAGGAGTGCCTGTCTTCATTTACAGGGGTTTACAGGGGTTGGAAAGGCAAAAAAAATTGTGTTTGAGATTCGAATTGCACCAGGATTTGCCGGCGAAGCAGGTGTGGCGTAGGCATTGCTACGCGTCTGCTCGACAAAAATCACTGGTTAGAAAACCGAATAGCAAAAAATTGGTTTCCTATTCGCTACGCGTCTGCTAACAGGGGTAGAGAAGTCTGCATTGATATTGATCGACTTCAGAACGACGGATTTTCATCAAAAGAGGTCTCTGAGCAGTGAGATGACGGTTAGGATCGATGTCGCATGTTATAGCCGAAACCCGAGTAGCACTACGTATCTTCCCAGAGGTGCGACAGCTAGCATGCTAGGAGGTCTTCCTTGAATAGGACGTACGAATCATCCTCTCTTTGCGTTGGTGGCTCCCCCCCTCGTACGGATCATCCTCTCTTTGCGTTGGTCGCTCCCCTTCGTTTATTACTGTGTTTCAGTCTTTGATATGTATTTTTGCTGTTGTCGCATGCTGGCCGGTTTTACCGAGGGCTTTCTTTTCCAGCCGTTTGCTCGCCTTGTCGGTCAGCGGCTTGCACTGGGGCGGTCAGCGTCTGGTGTTGACCGGTCCAGCAGGAGCAGCTTGGATTGGGCAGCCAGCCGAGCCATCTATGGAGCGGTCCTGGGTCATCATCATCAGCAGCTTGCATTGGGCAGCCAGCCGAACCATCTATGGAGCGGTCCTGGGCCATCAGCAGCAGCAGCTTGCATTGGGCAGCCAGCCGAGCCATCTATGGAGCGTAATGTTGACGGCCCAGGACCAATGCAAGCTGCTGCTTGCATTGGGCAGCCAGCCGGGCCATGTTTTGTCAGAAGGAAAAGTACCAGAGTTGCTGTGGCCTGTGACAAAGTTACGAGTGCCTGTTATGCTGCTGCTGCTGCTGCTGCTGCTGCTGCTGCTGATGATGATGATGATGCCTGCTGCTGATGATGATGATGATGATGAAGCCTTCCTGCTGTAGCGATCAATTTGTCTCGTAAAAAAATTATAGCAGTTGTTCTTATTGCTATTGCCACGATTGCCGCTTTGTACTCTTTCTACCTCGTCGGCCTCCTAATCTTTGTCCTCCTCCTCCTCGTTCTGGGCGTCGTAATCTTTCTTCTCTTGCTTTGTCCTCCTCCATTATTCGCTTTCGGTCTGCAGTTGGTCTTGAGATCGTCTTGACGAGTGAACAGGCTTCAATTTTGGAAAGCAACTGAAGCAGAGTGGTGTTTCGGGTTCGTGAGGGCTGGGAAGGGGGCCTGTACGCCGTGTACGGTGGGAATGTGTTCACCGCTGGGGATGGAGCTCAATTCTGCTAAAAGAAATTGTCAGGTACTTCTGTTATGGGCTTATGTTTTCCAGTTTTTGCAGAATCGCCATTACCAATGCACCATAGCCATAGCCATCACCATCACCATCACCATCACCATCACCATCACCATAGCCATAGCCATCACCATCACCATCACCATCACCATAGCCATAGCCATCACCATCACCATCACCATCACCATCACCATCACCATAGCCATAGCCATAGCCATAGCCACAGCCACAGCAACAGCCATAGCCATAGCCATAGCCATGGCCACTACCATCACCATCACCATCACCATCACCATCACCATCACCATCTATAAAGGGAGTCTGCCATCACGAGCCATCACCGTCACCATCACCATCTATGAAGGGAGTGTTATGACTGTGGATGTATGCTATTTGTGGGCTTACGTTTTTTCTATGGGCTTATGATTTCCAGCTCTTGCAGACCATAGCACTATCACATCATCCTCACCATCGCCATCGCCATCGCCATCACCCTCGCCCTCGCCCTCGCCCTCGCCCTCGCCCTCGCCCTCGCCCTTGCAGTAGCCATAGCCATGGCCATGGCCATCACCATCACCATCACCATCACCATCTATGAAGGTAGTCCGCTCATCGTCCTTGTCATCGCCATCGCCATCGCCATATCACCATCACCATCACCATCACCATCACCATCACCATCGCCATCACCATCTATGAAGGTAGTCCGTCATCATCATCGTCATCGCCATCACCATCACCATCACCATCACCATCACCATCACCATCACCATCACCATCACCATCTATGAAGGGAGTGTTTATGACTGTGGATGTACGCTATTTGTGGGCGTATGTGTTTTTCCATCTCTTTCAGATCATATCACCATCACCATCACTATACCCTCATCACTGTTGTTGCACTTCATCTGGAATGAACTTTCCGATAACTTTTGAGTGGTCCTCTCGGAGAGTCGAATAACCTGATCGGAAGGTTGATCCTCAACTGCGGTGAATCTTGATATCTGTGCTGTACTTATTACTGTGGAGGGGTAAATCTTGATATCCAGTGCTGTAAACATGAGGCAGAAAAATGCATGCTACAGCTGTAAGATAGGGTTCACTGGGGCAGGCAGGAATCACGCTGAGGAAACAGGTGGCTAGGAAGTAGACATGTATGCCAGGACTTTTGTGAGGTTACCTGACTTCAGTTTCGGTCAGATTCAGTTAGGAAATTTTCTTGAATTGAGTACGCCCTTTGTCGTTTCGGTGGTTTCAAGAAAAGCAGATATCGGCTTATGTGCCTTTATGGCTGCTGCTTTTGTCATTCCGTCTTGCATAGTCCTCTTTTTTTCGTGCAGTGGTGTTCTTTTTTCTTTTTTTTTTCCCGGGAAGGGGTTGTTGGGGCGAGGGAGGGGGAAGATCTCTATTTGCATTTGGATGTTTTGCGAAATCTCTAGCTTGCAGTTTCTTTAT